AACTTTGATTTCGGTTTTTTTAAAGCTCAGATCCTTCTCCAGGAAGACGATCGTTTAATCTAGGGTTTTAGCCATATTATCCCCAAATTTTTTTTTGGATTCCAGAAACTACGGAATCGAGAAATTTCAGCAATTGAATGCTTAGACCTGAATTTAATTAATCTTTAGATTTTCGATTTGATTTGTATTATGAAATTCATTTCAACTCCATTGCAGAAACCTATATAACTCATATTTCTAATGATTTGAGTTTCAAAATTTGTTTCAATCAAAAGTTGTGTACTCTATGAATCCAACTTGATTTGTATGTTTTTCTTGCACAATGATGTTCTTGGAACCCTGTTTTTGGACAAGGATTGATAGAATTGGTGATGAATGATCAAAGATTAGACCCTTTTACTCTTCAAGTCTTAAACTTTGTTTCTTCTTGGTCTCTTGGTCTCTTATGCTTGATTTGATTTATTTGTTGTCTTTAATTGTGATATTAACAGGGAAGGTTTGGAATCTATTCCTTGTGGAATAAAAAAACGAAGACCATGAACTCTGAGAATCATAAAACTACTCACTCGAAAGTGATCTCTCACGCGTTTTTCACTGGTACTGCCAAACAAGGCTCTCTTGCACCAACCATTGGTCTTCTCGATATTGGCGTTAGCGAAGTTGCCTACATCTTCAGAGTCTCTCTTCCCGGTATCGAGAAAAATCAAAGTAAGTAAGCTTCACACAATTCCCTTTATCTCTAATAACACCATTGTTGGATTAGTCAAAGATCCCTTCTCAATAGGAAAATCTCCCTTTTTTACTTCTGCCACCTGTTGAATGAAACCATTTGCGTTTTGGATTTGATTATGACAATGACATGAATAGAAAGTTCAAAGTTGTATTCTTTTCTTAGATAATTGTGACCTCAGAAAGTTCAAAGCTGTTATGGAACAATTGTGACCTCAGATATGCAATCTTTTCTTATGGTCTTTGTTAATAGATATGATCAAATGTGAGATCCAGAGAGAGGGAAGGGTGTGCATACGAGGAGTAGTACCTGAGATTGCGATTCCGAGTGACTCGGGTTGCTTATACAGAATGCAGGTGCAACAGTTGTGCCCACCGGGCCCATTCTCAATCACGTTTAATCTACCGGGACAAGTGGATCCTCGCTTGTTTTCGCCAAAGTTTAGACCTGATGGGATCTTAGAAGTTGTTGTCGTCAAGCTCGGAGTACGCATCCCAACTTCGTAGTTGTGGTTTTCATTAACTAGGATATGTTCAAGTGTTTTGTGTAATAACATGTTCAATGATCTGATTTCTTAAGATATTCTTCTTAGACTGAAAAAAAGTGGTTAGATGTGAAAATTGTACTGTTTTGAGCAAAACGAATTTTAACGTTTCTATGAAAATTAGATATGTGCATTTTTTTTATCAAGTGATCCCAATCCTATCCGTACTTGACCTGAATTACCTTGATATTTCGGAGAAATATAATAAGTACTCACGATCCACATATAACAATTTATTACTATTATTCACATAACATTGTCGAAGTCAACTTAAAGGAAGTGGACTCGATCCATGGAGGTGTTGTGTTCCTCTCGCAGTCAAACCAAAGCATATTCCATTCCATAAACTCTAAACAAGACAAAAAATCTCCAAACATAAAAATGAAGAGACTTCAATTGTGTTTTCTCATACTACAAAAAACAATTATCACAAAACACACATAAACTCAAAAGATGCCTGCGTTAAGAGTGTTATCGGCGTTAGACGCCGCAAAAATACAATGGTACCATTTCAAAGCGATAATAGTCGCCGGAATGGGTCTATTCACCGACGCATACGATCTTTTTTGTATAGCTCCGATCATGAAAATGATTAGTCAAATCTATTACCATAAAGACCCAATCGGAACGGCTGTTCTTTCAACTTCATACGCTATTGCTCTTCTTGGAACCGCTTTAGGTCAGCTTATCTTTGGTTACTTAGGTGACCGAGTCGGTCGCCGGAAAGTCTACGGTCTTTGCCTCTTGATCATGGTGTTTAGCTCCTTTGGTTGTGGTTTCTCCGTGTGTACGACTCGTAGGTCTTGTGTTATGGCGAGTCTTGGATTCTTTAGATTCGTTCTTGGTCTTGGAATCGGTGGTGATTATCCTCTGTCCGCTACGATTATGTCGGAGTTTGCGAATAAGAGGACGCGTGGTGCTTTTATCGCGGCTGTGTTTTCGATGCAAGGGTTAGGGATCTTGATGAGCTCGGCTGTGACTATGGTTGTTTGCGTGGCGTTCAAGAACGCCGGAGAAGGGAGGTCGTCGGAGAAAGGAAATGCGGCCGGGATGGAGACTTTGGCTCCACCGGAATCGGATATTGCGTGGAGGTTGATTCTTATGATCGGTGCTCTTCCCGCTGCGTTAACGTTTTATTGGCGAATGCTTATGCCTGAAACCGCCAGGTTCTTGTTTAATCTTCTCTCTCTTTTCTTTTTTTTCTTAAATTTTTTAATTATTTTCTACCGTAAATATGAGATATATATATTAGCGTATGACAAAA